CCCGCGCACAGACCCCCGGCACTGAAATGGGCGGGACAGAAATGGAAGGTGATTCTTAAAGAGACAGAGGCCAATTTCAAGGTGTTTAGAAGAGGAAGTGATGAGAAGATAAGTTTATTTTCTATTTAAACATAAAAACAGCATTTTAATAACAGCTAAAGATGACATAGCAACGCATTCACACTCCCGCTGCGTCAACATATTGATGCTTGGTCAGGTAGCCGTCTGCGTCCAGCTTCTGATGCGCTGGGTAGCCCCCACGCGTTTGTATACGCTGTCTTTATGAGATGAGGTGGAAGAGGATGAGCGCATTGTTCTATTTTTTTTTACAAGAGTAGGAAATGTGTGAAACTAACCATACCAGACCCAAACTTTACTTCTATTAGCCCTATACAGCCTATCCCTGACCCCAGAATCTAAAATTAACCATTAATCCTGATCCCTCACATTAACCATTTTTGAAAATGTAGAGAATGTGCGAGAACTAACCATCCCAGACCCTAAATTTAACTTATATCAGCCTTATGCTGCCTATCCCACTAACTCAGTACCTAAAATTAACCATTAATCCTGATCCCTCATGTTAACCTCAGACCCTCAACCCAAAGACCCCTAAGTGACGCAACCCGGAAAAGTCACGGGCGGCAAGGACTGACGTGCGAGGGGTACCCAGTGCGTCAAAACCGGACGCAGGTGGTCCCTGACCAAGCGTCAATATGTTGATGAGTCGGACGTGAGAATGTGTTAAGACATAGATACTTTATTGTGGTAGAGTATTTAAATATATGCCTGAGAAAAACATAATATTGGCCCTGTAAAATTTGAAAACTACATCAGTGAGCAGTTTTCTCTCAGTTGATAAACTGTTTTATATCTGAAGATCTAAAAACAAACAGGATGTTTTGTACTTGACTGGTTTCAAGTCTCCATTGTCTGGTCTCGTTGTTGGAGCTCCTGCACTGCTGGATTTATGCAAAAAAAACACCATCTCCTTACAACTGGCTTGGAACAATTTGCAATATTTTTTTGCTGAATTATTAATAAATGTACAAGCTGAGAGGTGCGGTCTTAAAATAAAACCTTGTTAAACTCCCATTCTGCAGATTTAAAAGGTTGGCTTGATCTCATTAACTCAGACTCACTGTTATCTCTTTTTATTTAAGAACTGAAGCAGATAAAAGAACCATTTTACACATTAATTCTTCAGATGGTTCCAGGGTGGCAAGCTTAGTTTACTGATTTTAAGTTGCATACATGAAAACACTTGTATATAATTTACCACAGTAAGAACATGACGGATTTAAAAAAAGCAAAGAATCAGGAACAGGCTAAAAACACATTGGGCCTCATGCAAGAACATGTTCGCATTCTTATCCTAAATTTCGCTTACTTTTGTTCGTACAAAGGGTTTGTATGAACATGCCACGTCAGATTCAACAAACTCTTCTATCTTCAGGAAAAGTGTGTAAATGAGCTGCGTAAATTCCACCTGGTCATATCCAGCTGCTCGTGCATGCGAGAGGAGATTAGCATAATTACCACCCCAAAAACACCTTATAAGGCTGTGTTTCCTGCCTCAGACACAAGGAAGTGTTCATTCATGAAAATGACAGCGAAAA